AGAACAGAACAGAACAGAAGTCTTTATTGGCCAAGTGTGATTGGACACACAAGGAATTTGTCTTTGGTGCAAATGCTCTCAGTGTACATTAAAGAAAAGATACATCTGTCAAGAGTCAAGAATCATCAGGTACAACACTTGATCATAATAGTCATAGGGTACAATAAGCAGTCAAATCATACTGGGAAACAGTCCATATAAATCGTAAGGATACCAGCAACAAAGTTACAGTCATATAGTCATAACTGGGAGGAGATGGGTGACAAGGAGTGATGAGAAGATTAATAGTAATGCCAATAGTAAACAGTTGGACAGTGTGGAGGGAATTAGTTGTTTAGCAGAGTGATGGCATTCGGGGAAAAACTGTCCTTGTGTCTAGTTGTTCTGGTTATTAAGTTATAAGGTATTATAAAATACAAAATACAAAAGCAAATAAGAGGACAGTGATGGGGAAGGGAAAAGGGGAAAGAAAAGTGAGGAAGGATAGGGAAAGAAAAAGAAAAGGAAGCATTGACTTCTGACTCTCTGTTACAGAAGAATAAGGCATGAACAACAAATCACAACTTTTTGTTCTACCCATAACAGTCATTACTATCAAAATCTATTCATTTAATCTGTAAGACCCAAAACCAAAGTTTGGTTCTTTTTCACATCAAGCATGAAGCTCAGAAACGGTTTCCATGTGGAAACAAAAAGGACTTATGTTCTTTTCTTCAAGTGAGGTAGTCAAAACTGACCACTTTGCTTCAAACTGAGATGTTTTCTGGAAGTCCACGTGGAAACGGGGCCCACACACCAAACCAGCTGCCCAGGCATCGCACAAGATTGGCAGTGCCTTTGGAGGGATGTTGTGGATGGGTCAAGTGCGGTAGCGCATCTGAACATTCCCTTGTGGGAACCAGCTGCATGAAAAGGGCATGTATAATTTCGAAGAACAACCCAAGAGCAGACTCCGCTCCCTTCCAGCACTGATGATGCTACCTAGTTGGGTCATGAAATGTCTGCAAGAAAATAACCAAGTTCAGGGACCGGGGAAGACCCCAAAGAACCGTCAAATTGACAGGCATCCCGCTGAAAGGAGGTTTAATTTCCCGTAATTCAGTGTTGGATTTCCAAAATCCCGGAAGCCATTCCTTGCTGAAATGACCTTCTGAAACCAGAAACTGGTTTGAGGATGTTGACTTTCTACTCCTCTATCAGCTTCCTTGGGAATAAGCTCCCTTGAAGATTAACTTGAGAGAAAACATGCATTAGATTATCTGGGATGGCTAAAGATCCCGCCAGATTGAGAAACCAAGACCATGTGTGAATTTCCAATTAAACTGATTTATTATTGCTTGTGCCTTTGCACAGGAATCTACTCAACTTGGCAGTGAGGGTTAGCACTGTTTTGGTGCTAAATCAGGCTCGCCGGCATTCAAGAGGGGTTGGACTTGGTCTGTTTGTGACTAGGTAGCGATTCTAGGCTGATTCCTCTCTTGACCCCACCCCACATTCTGCCATCCCTTCTCCTCAAGTTCCCCTCCGTGAATTAAAACAGCTGCAGGCAGTCTGTTTTGTCCAAATAAGACAAAAACATTGTAGAGTGTGCTGTTACTCCATTACAGCAGTGCACTTTTAGTTCGTAATGGAATTCCTGTCCATTATAGATATACTGTAGGTCCCCCTCATAATGGATGGTCTATAAGTGCATTGATATATGGTCCCATCCCATGGCAGGAAGAGAACCCTGCCTGTTTCCCAACGTTTAGGCCAAAGAGGGGAATCATCACAGTCAACACCCCACCCCACACCACCCCAAAGAAGGCCCAAAACACCCATTGTCTTCCCGCCCGGGGGAGAGTGCGTTGACCGTTGGGTGCTCCGTTCTGCTCCCTTCTCACGCCATTCCAGCGCATTATTCTAGCAGCCACGATGTGGGTGGGATCGTCTTGCAGAATCAAGCAGCGGGGTTAAAATAGTCATTTCGTTCGACAGATGCTTTCGGAGGAAGGGAAGGAGGGGGGAAATAAAAAAGAAAAAAAAAAGGAAGATTTAAGGCCCTTCCAAAGCAAGACACGCATTCGCTGCAGAACCATTTCCCATCAAATGGACGTCCTTGAAGCTGGCAAAAGGAGCCTCTGCAAGACTTTGGTTCCGTGCGGTTTGGAACAAGCCATGCCTGAAGTGCGTGGTGCTTACACGGCCTTCTCCTTGTGGGTGTGTGAATGTTGTACCACACAATGCTGGGAAGGGGGTGGGTGAGAAGAGAGGCCATCTCTTTTCCCCCCCCACCCCCACCCCAGATGTACGGAGAGGGAGGGAGGGAGAGAGAGAGAGAGAGAGAGAAATCCTCGTGTAAATGGTGGCAGTTGGAGGCTTGCATTCGTTGCCAGACAGAAAGCTGCGTTAGCAAAACATAGACTCCGCGCATGATGTTCCTTCCTGCCCATTGGGCTGCCATGCAACCCGCCTATTTGTGATCTACAGGTTCTTATAATTAGCTGTGCTGGGGGAGTAATAGCAAGCCTTCTTAATTAAGCACCTAATAAATCCCGAAATGAAATCCGCTGCGGCTTACCAGCTCAATTCAGAACCAATCCTTACTCTCTCTCTCTGTCTCTCTCTCTCTCTCTCTGTTTCTTTCTCTGTCTCTGTTTCTCTCTGTCTGTTTCTTTGTCTCTCTCTCTCTCTCTCTCTCTCTGTCTCTCCCTCTCTCTCTTTCGCTCTCTGTGTGTGTCTCTCTGTCTTTCTCTGTTTCTCTCTCTCTCTGTTTCTGTGTGTGTGTCTGTCTGTCTTTCTCTCCCTCCCTTTCTCTCTCTGTTTTAATTTGCAAATTGTATCCCTACCTATCTAACCCAGGCTGATTCCTAGCAGCAGCAGCAGCGGCTAAATTAGAGTGGCTTTTAAGCTCGGGTTTGCGTGTGTTTCCATGTGTGCTTGTGTGTGACCTGGTGTGTTTCACCAACCTTGCTCCTTCAATTAATTGATGCTGCAGCGTATTGTACAATCCCAGAAAAACAGGCAAATTCAGCCACTGAATTAGACATACTGTGTGAATGCAGCTGCTCAGCACACTGTCTCTTCAATGGCAACAACTACACACACACACACACACACACCTGCCTTTCCAACACATGCATGCATTTGCAGTAGCAAAATTATGACCCAGAAAGCGAACAGCTGTCTCTCCGTGTTCAAACTTCCGTGAAAGAGTTCCTCCTTCAAAATAACTGCCATCAGGTGCCCTTCAGAGATCTTGAGTGTGCAACTTCGCAATTGCCCACCGCACCTCCACGCAGCAGGTGGGAAGGGCTTATCCACCCCGGAAAGGCCAGACCTCTTGGTCACCTTGAATCAGTCATCCCTCGAGCCTCCTGCAAGGTAATTCCTACCTTTGCAGCTGGGGAGGTTAACCCTCCTTCCCTCCGTCCTTCCCTCCGTCCCCTGTGATGTCTTTTATTTCCCCCTTTTCCAAACCAGCAAAGAGATTCCTTTGTTTCTCCTAACACTTCAAAACAGCGATTCTCAGCCTTGGCGGCTTTAAGATAGGTGGACTTCAGCTCCCAGTATACCCCAGCCAAGCTTTGCAATGCCTGGACTTGGGGGACTGCAGGCAACAAGAAGCCCACAGATTCGCTCTCTTCGACCTTCGGGCCAGTGTGGAAAGATTAATTTTTAAAAAATAAAATTAAAATCCCCATCCATTCTTTGGCTTGCTGCATTTCTCAGTTGGAGTTTCCAATTCCGTCAACGTAGGTCTGCATCTCACCTCTTCGTTACCTTCGTTTGTTGCCTGCTTTATTTTTTAATCGCCTGTGCTTCCATTGCAGATCGTCCAGTGGTGGGATTCAAAAAAATTTTTGCTACCAGGTTCTGTGGGCGTGGCACAGGAAGGATACTGCAAAATCCCCATTCCCTCTCCACCTCACTAACCTGCTTTCCAGCTCCGTTCTCCTGTGCAGGGCAACCAAAG